GCAGTTGCCTCGCGCATTTTATATAGACCTTCGAAGGTAGCAAAACCTGAAGCACCAGAGACAATTCGAGCCATCCGTGGAGTAAAGCAGTTGAAATGGGCTTATGTCTCCCAACGAGTCGTATCAACGCCCCACTTATTGCCACAGACCATGATTACCGAGGGTCGCGAACTCTGGCTGATGGTGATAACCTTCGCGCTATGGCACGGTCATCTAACAGCGCAAACTGACATCCAACCACGAGAACGTCTTATGCCATGGTGATAACCTTCGCACTACGGCACGGTCATCTAACATTACATACTGACATCCAGCCACGAGAACGCCTCATGTCAGGGAAGCGAGATACTGAGCCTGACTCATGGGTAATTCTATCTACTAAACCACCAGGAGCTCCGGCGCTCCAGTGTTGCCTACCCCATCACACATGCGTCACCATCCGCTGTGCCCTACGGCGCGGCACACCTGGGGTGCGGTGGAGATGGGGCTGGGATGCCCCTGGGGGGGGGGGGGGGGGAAGGAGGGACTGACACCCCCTCTCACCGGGCGACCACAACGTCTCACCACAGACAGCCAGTACGGCATCGCATTCCAGCGGCGTTTTTCGAGCGTTGCTCATCCGATTGCAAAAAGGAGTCTATGCCCGGGATTAGCGCGAGGCGGCCGCCGTATAAAACGGTGCCGGCCGGTCGGTGCCATCACTCCACTCCCGGACCGCCTCCCAGACACCGCAGCCATGAAACTGGTAAGCCGCCGCCGACGGAGACAGAGGCACGAGTTGATTACGGGATATCGGTAGGAAGCTTAAACCGCTTTGAGAATGTAGCCAGAGTCTAACATCCATGAAAATCTGGACTCGGCCCAACAACGCCATTTACATCCCCAGTCATTTCTGTTAACTTTCACATCCGACCGCGGCACTAAACCTGGCCGTCTTCGGTTGCCTCGGCACCTTAAGAGGGGTCTATTCCACCGGAAACGATGGAAATATGCCACTTCGTTGAAGGCACGCCCAGGATTTGCGACCGAGGCTGTACCGCTAGGATTTACGGTCCTGGGAAATGCGGTGGAAGAGGGAGGTTACAAATTCTAGGACCGAGTCCAAGCCTCATTCACAGCACGTACGCACTAAGGACAGACTTAACACGCCACCAGCAATACTGGTGCGGGACCTAAAGTAGCGAAGGGTCATCATTGTTGGTTTGCCCTGGTGCTCAAAACAATCGCGTCAGCAACGTACTGTCACATATCCACTCGGCTACCCGCTGATCTCGTCCCTAAATTACTGTTGCTAAGTGCGGCATGTCATTGCCAGTGGTAGTCGATAACCATCTCATCGCAAATTACTTAAACTGTGTTTAAAAATGTCGCGGTGAAAACTGCACTCCATCCTTACTGTAAGTGAGGACTAAGGCCCAATTAGCACCAGGTCGCACCTCTGTATTTTAGTTGTCATTGTCAACTACATCAATTGAATCCAACAGTGAACATGAAGCCCCCCCCAAATAAATTCACTGCATTTCATTTGCTAAGGTTCCACAACTTGTCCAGTTGTGCCTCGGCAGCGACTTTGGCACCAGATGGATAAGTCTGCGCTCCTCACGGCCTTGATGCGACTTCCCGCGCAACCGGTTCACTTTCATTCCTCTGATCCAGGGCATCAGCGCCCAGATCGCTGCCGCGGGAACTAATCTCATTGCGCTGACCCGTACCGGTCATACCGCTGTTATAGTTGCAACCCTTCTTAACCACTGCATTTCTTGAGCGCACGGCTTAAGTGTCCCCACCCGGTGAACCACCCTGACGTGCCACGTGACCTCCCTCTGAGCGTCTCTCTTGACCCCCTCGTGACCGTTTCCCGCGACCTCCCTCTGAGCGTCTTCCGTGACCTCACTCTGAGAATCTCCCAGGACCTCCCTCTGGGCGTCTTCCGTGACCTCACTCTGAGAATCTCCCAGGACCTCCCTTTGAGCGTCTCCCGTGGCCGTCTCCCGGACCAGGTCTTCTGTATCCGCGCTCCAACCGTCCTCCTACACTGTGCGCTGCTCCCCTCACGTCACCTCCCTCTGACTTTTTCTTGTGGCCGTCTTCTCGCAGTCTTAGGTGATTAGTTTCTGGCCGTCTTCGTGACTGCCCTCTGACCGTGGTCGTCCTCCAACTGCTTCCGTAGCCTTCCTCTGACCGTCTCCGTGACCGCCCTCTGATCGTCTCTCGCTCCGGCAGTCGCTGATCGTTCTGCTGGCGTGCGCTGCCGCCGCCGCCGCCCAAGAATCCCTGGAGCTCCCCGTCCAAGACGCCCCGGAGCCCGAGATCGTTGCCGTCGTCCAGGAGCCCAGCGTCTTCGTCACCGACGAGAGCCAGGCCGAGATCCTGAGCAGCGACTTCGTGCGCGACGAAGAGGGTGGCTACCAGTCTGCCATCGTCACCAGCAACAACATCGAGCAGACGGCCAGCGGCAAGACCACGCCCGGTGCCGAGCCGGAGACGGGCACCATCAGCATGAGGGGCGAGTACTCGTACATAGCCCCCGACGGCCAGAAGATCAAGGTGGTCTGGTACGCCGACGAGACGGGCTACCACGCCCAGTCGGACTCCATCCCCGTGGCGCCACCGGCGCAGTTCTAGGTCAGGGGTCGGCTCGCCCGCATCACCGGCAGCGTTAGCTCGTTCCCGGTCCGGGGTCGGTGAACTGGAGTCTACCTGGCGCCCCGCGCCCCGGGCTGCCAGGTCTCATCTTAGCTCACGAAAGCAGCAGCGCGGCAGGCGGCGCCGGAAATGCTAGCTGCTGGACTGGCACGTGACATTTGGCTTGCGTTGGGTGACACGGAAAGTCCATCCATTCGGCGTGCCTCTCTCTCATTCAAACGCTGGTGTCCAAACTTCGCCTGGCTCGCGGTCGTCGTCAACTATCTTTCATTCCGTGGCGATACTCGCACGTATGCATGCTTGTCCGAATACATATCATCTTCGTAAACGTTTGCCTTGACGTTCGAACTACCCTCGCCATTCGACGCACTCTCTTCCTGCCGCTCGGCGAAGGCCGACCGGCGCATTCTTCGTCCGAGCGTGCACGACTCGCAAACCCACACAGGTTGCCGGGGCGCCTCGGCATCAGCTCAACGGCTGGCGATGAGAATGGCTGACACCGCATGATGCCTTAACAAGCCGAGGCATGCAACACATAAGCATGTTTAAACCGTTAAAATCTGCAAGAGACCGGAGCTGCCAGCGCTTCTCGCGTCTGAGCCGAAGGGGCTCATTGCTGGCCGAAAGGGCTTTAATTCCAGCCAAAGCGGAACGATACAGAACCATGGACCGTTAGACCTTGAGACGGTCATTCCAACGGCAGATTCACTTCAGTTCCCAGTATGTAGTTGACTCGCATGCAGCGGTTTGGTGCTTGACCAGGATGTCTTAGAGTGAACGAGTGCATGAACCATTGAAACTGCATTTCACGTTTGCGCGTATGAGCAATAGATGATTAAACTACCCCGGAATGCGTTCGAAAGTCGCTGGAGAATGAGCTTTCAGTGCGGCCGATTGTTCGCGTTACGGTAAGATGCTATCTCGCAATTTAGAATTGCGTAGAGCACTGCCCTGCTCATGTTGACTGCAGCTACGTATCACCCAGAGTGGAGCACCGGACTCTCCCTGCACGCCGCAGGGAGACTCCAGCGGGCGAGTTTGTGCAGTGTGCTCGAAAGCACCGCCACTTCAGCGTGTGCCGCTGTTTGCCTCTGTCCCGGTGCAAGAAGACCACAAGCTCCCGAATGGTACACCAAACTCCCAGTCTCTCATTTAGAGCACCAAGCTCCCAACTCCCAATCAGTGCACTAAGCTCCCAAACCCCCAAGTAGGCACCAAGATCTCAAGCTCCCAATTAGCGCACGAAGCTCCCAAGCTTTCAGTCAGTGGACCAAGCGCCCAAACTCCCAATTAGGCACCAAGATCTCAAACTCCCAATTAGCGCACGAAGCTCCCAAGCTCCAAATCAGTGCACTAAGCTCCAAAACTCCTAATCAGCGCAGCAAGCTCCCAATTAGTGCACCAAGCCCCCAAGCTCCCAGTTTGTGCAGCAAGCTCCCAATTAGTGCACCAAGCTCCCAATTCTCACACGAAGCTCCTTAGCTCCCACGGCGCGAGAGGCCGCCGCCTATCGATCATGTTCCGCCAGCCTGGTGTCAAGAGCATCGTGTAATTCTGTTCCGTCAGGTAGTGCAGTCAGTAACGGTCCTAACGCGCAGCAGGCCCCAGTATTGCGTATAGCGGGCAATAACCAGACTGCAGGAAGGCGCGGCCTCGCTCTGTCTCAGCATCCGCTGCCGGCAGTGGTCCTGCACGAGCGAACAGTGCTGCACTCACACACGGATGCTGTGCACGCGACTCGCTTCTCCTGCACCTTTTTGGCTGCGCTCTGCGACAGGACGCCGACGAGAAATTCTAAACGCCAATAAAAACCCAGCGACGGATGGAGAACGTCAGAATACATCACCGGCATTCGCACACCGTTCGGTCAACGAAGGTCACATGCCACCCTTTCCACCAGTCTCTAGCGCACATGGAAGAGGCACATGCGCTATACGGTCTTCACGACACAAGGCCGCGCACCACAAAAACAGGAACTGTTTATCGCTGTCAAAAGACTTACCCGCTGGTCATAACACGACAGTTATGAAGTCCTTGAGAAAAAGGTGCATGCGGATACAGCAATACGGTAGTTGATGCGCTATTGTTCACTCATGCGCTGGTATGCCGACTGTTGTTGCAGCTTCCGTACGCGACATTCGTCCCTGTTGAAGGTTGCGTCACCGTCCATTCGCATCCCTAAAACCCTGTTCTGCTCATATCGCGCGACACGATAAAAAGCTCTTTGACATTAGCTACTATGATATCATATAGAATAAAGGAGCCAATATGAACCAACCTTAGTTATCCGTATTCTACGCAACCTTCAGCATCCCAATGGACAGCTTGGGCAAGTCTAGAAAAAAAAACACATATTTAGTCTCCTGTGTATTGTCTCCATCTCACCGTGCTGCCCCCTCCCCTCCCATCTAAAGGTCAACGCCAGGTCACGCGCTGTCGTCGGACTCGCCGGCCGACCCGTCGTCGTCGGCCATATCGCTGTCCTGGTCCCAGTCCTTGAGGCCGGCCTCGGGCAGGTAGTCGTCCCGCAGCACGCTCCACGAGGCCCGGCCGTCTGCCGCCTCCTCTCCGTGCTCCTGAGATCAGGTCGCGTCCACCGGTCAGGTCACGCCCGCCGCAGGTCAGGTCTCGCCCACCGCCGCTAAGGTCACGCCCGCCGCAGGTCACCTCAGCCGACGGCAGCAGCGCAAATAGCTCCCCGGTGAGCAAGCTCACTCGGCGGTGGCGAAATATTATCCCCTCGGTACACGCAACTACGACAGGCTAGCCGAGGCGGTGTTTGTCAATTGCGCCGCGGCCTGCGCGGCACTGGGTCCGCATAATACACAACCCGTTCTTACATGCATTACAGCTTCAGATCTCGACATGTCACGCCCTGTCACAAGTACACTGTGAGTGGCAAATCCTTCCGCTTTGCAAAACTTCAAAATAATACCGTGCCAGGGCTCGTGAGCCAACAAAACAGGGTGCAATCATCAGTAACGCAGAGAATTAGCAAGCACCGTCCACTGCAGGGAGGACTCTGAAGATGACGCGGCAGCCCCACCGGCAAAAGGGACATGGAGCCCACACTAATTTGGACCAAAGTCCCCCAATCAGGCCCTCTACCAAGTCCACCGGACCACCGATGAGATTCCCCCGGACCACCGATGAGATTCCCCCGGCCCACCGATGAGATTCCCCCGGACCACCGATGAGATTCCCTCGGACCACCGATGAGATTCCCCCGGCCCGTGCTCGTCCGAACATCGAGCCGAGCACCGAGCGGCAGCCGGGCACCGAGCGGGGGCACCGAGCGGTGGCTGGGCACCGAGCGGACAGCCAACCGCCGAGCGGCACCCGAGCACCGAGCGGACAGCCCAGCACCGAGCGGCAGCAGAACACCGAGCGGCAGCCGAGCACCGAGCGGACAGCCAACCGCCGAGCGGCACCCGAGCACCGAGCGGACAACCCAGCACCGAGCGGCAGCAGAACACCGGGCGGCAGCCGAGCACCGAGCGGCAGCACCACCCTCTGTCCATCAGACACTGACCAGCGTCTGCCTGTTTCCATCCCCCGGCCCCAGCCGCCACGGTCTGTCTGACTCTGTCCAGCCCCCGCCCTCTCCATGTCCCTTTAGCCCCGGAGGCCGTGGTCAGAGGTCCACCCTCCAGAGGTGCACTCCGTGGTCCAGAGGCCCGCGGAGACCCTCGCCACCAGACGGCCCCGCCCACGCCTCTCGCCCGCAATGCTGACCTGGGCGGCCGGCGGCGCCGGCTCGCTGTCGACGCCCGCGCGCAGTCGCTCCAGGAACGCCTGCTTGCTGACGCCCTTCAGCGCCCGCTCCGTCTTGCGGATGGAGCCGCCGGCCTCCTTCAGCTGGCCCTGCACCTCCTGCTGCTGCTTCCGCACCGCGTTGAACAGCTGCACCACGCCCCTGGAGGCGACGGGCGAGGTGAAAGGGCTGCGTGCGCACCGCGACACGCTCAAAACAGCTGGCCACGGCCGCGCGCACCGGCTGTGGCCAACGATCTGAAGCTGTGTCGTGCTTACTGATCGACAGGGGTCAGGAATGGACGACACGGCCGTTTGGCTCGGTCGCATCATCAACGACAGCCTACTTACAAGCTAGCGAATACCATCGTTGTACACAAGGATGGTGAGCCTCCTGTGAACACAGCAACACATTGCTATAGTAGATTCAAGTTCGACCACTGGATATGGGAGATGACTGGGAATGCATGATATTGATTGTGGCCAATGCTAATGTACTCCACATACCTTGTTGCAATCTTGCACAGGGTCTTTTCCCTGTCTTTCTCTCGGATGTCAGGCTTCTTTCGTCCCATCACTTCCCATTCTCGAAGCTGAAATAAAGTAGCTAGTCAGCAAATGGAGAACACGTCTGGGGCATAACATATATTTTCACGAGTAAATCCATAGCAATAAGGCGCTACACACACATCTCAGAACAACAGACTCACTTGTCACGAACAGCGAATGGAAGATCAGATCAGTCAGTGTACAAGATAGTATGAGTATGCTGTGTCAGTGCATGATGACCAGGTGAGGAAAAGAGGTAAACCCACGGATAACAGCGAATAACAATGGATGACCACACCCGACGATGGCCATCGATACTTGAAGGAAGTCGCTGCGTCATGAGTTACCTTCTTCCGCCTGTCGATCTCCGCCTTCCTCCGCACGGCGCGCGGCCGCACCGTCGAGCGGGACTTGGCCGGCTTCTTCTGCGCCTCCTCAGGCTCGGCTCCCTCCACTTCAAACCCTGGACCCTGCTCCTGCTTCTCCTCTTCTTCTTCCACTTCCTCGGAGGGCACAGTCTTTTTCGCCTTGGCTAAGACGACGTATCGTTTTTTGGGCGCGGGCGCGCTCAGCAGCCGGGTCATGACGTCGGCCCAGCCCTGGTTCCCAGCCTCAGACTGGCCGCTCGCAGCGCCACCTGCGCCATCCTCGGCGTCCGAGGCGACATCTGACGTGCCTGAAACAAACACCCACTGATGGCAGGAGCTTCTGGAAAGTAATATATTGGCAAGTCGAGCTAAAAATAGTCTTGCTAAGTGGGAAGTGGTCGAAAAGAAGGTGAATTGTATGACAGAAATGCAAACAAAATTTTAAAAAGGTTTCCAGAGTTGACAGGAAAGGTTTAAATTTATTTTCTGGTTAATTTCTACAGTTTTAATACGCCAAAAACATACTACCGAAATATAAACGCATGAGTCTCTCCATTCCTCTGTTGGTTTTTTTCTACAATACGACTTACCACCGTCATCTATAAATACCACTGGTGAACTACTTTTTGGTCCCAGCACATCACCAGCAGAGTGGCGCAGTGGAAGCGTGCTGGGCCCATAACCCAGAGGTCCGTGGATCGAAACCACGCTCTGCTAGTTTTTCACTTCAGACGCTAGATAGAAAATGTGTGCAAGGGCGATCTTAGACGCTGGGCAATTCAATTCCTACAACCAATATATTCACCATGTTGACAAACTACAGCGTTTTGAACCACTCACACTGTGCATTAGATTTATCATGCTCACATTGCATTATGTTTCTCATGCTCTCACTGTGCATTACATTTTTCATGCTCTTACTGTGCATTAGATTTCTCATGCTCTCACTGTGCATTAGATGTCTCATGCTCACATGGTGAATCAGATTTCTCATGCTCACACTGTGAATCAGATTTCTCATGTTCTATACTACTAATTTAAACCTGCAATTTAACTTGAGTCATCATTATAATTTTGGTTATTTTCAGCAGCTCCATTTTCTTTCATGACACCATGACTGACCTGACTGACCAGCACTAAGGAACTTTGGTTATCAATGTGCCTAGCCCAATACAGAGAAACGCATTTCCAGGCATTTTGGGCCTTTGGACAGGCAATTCCTAGTTGATGTACCATGGCCAAATGACAAACATGACTGGGTATGCAACATTTGGCATCAGGCCTAGTCATGAGGATTGTCTTCTGATTTAGTTTGAGCAACACCTAAGCCATCAGTAGCTTTCTTGAAAACTGTTATACCTTTTGACCTGCAAACAATGTACAGTCATGTGGATCATTAGAATAGCCACAACACACATACCTCCAATGTCTTGCATCATGCTGTCTTCTGTAGCCATTTCTTTTTCAAGCATTTAAAGGTTGCCTGGAAAAACTGTGCAGCAGATCTGGAAAATCAAATGCATGTATATATGACATATACAATGCAGATGTCTGAAGGAAAAGAACATATTTGTGATTGCTTGTCCTTTGGTGGATAATGCAGTACAGCATGGCCTCTACCAGCTACTTCATTAAACCTAAAAGAAGCAAGATATTACCAAGTCTGCATTGAATGATGCTTGCTCCAGTACTAACACTTCCAGGTAAACTTCAGCCAGAGTTCCCAGTCTGCAGTCACACATGGATTTTTGGAAATATAATAACGTGCCTCAGTTCCTCACTCACACAGGACCTGCCTGACGTGCTGCCTCAAACGTCACATGTAGTTACCTCCCACCTGACCTGACTGACTAAAAGTCAAGATGTAAGTAGGTGCTGTTGTGATGTAGCTTTTTGTGACATCAGAAGTAGCAGTCATGTAAGGATGTTGTTAATGAAGGGATGCCCCCACATGCAGCATCATCTGTGATTAAATTTGAGTGCTCCCTCACTAGAGCAATAATGATTTAGTCTGTTTGGGGCTGAGGTTCCCACAAAGGTAATGATATGGGCTTTGGGAAATGCAGGCTACAATGGTCATAGTGGCACCAGTTGGGTTTCCACTGTCTGTCACAAAATGCTTGATGTAAAAACTCATGTGTATCAAATTGCCCAGTACACTGAGCTTCTTGCTATTTTAAATAAATAAGGAGCTGCAAAATTATGTGGGTGGCAGATGACCACATGATGGAGAAAAACAACACTGAATATGCTATACACTTACATGTGCTATACACTTACATCTTACCATTCATGACTGTCAAATACCAAAAGGCCCTGTATTTGATTATTTCAAAGCAAACATGTCACAAGTCACTTCTAGTTGGTGTAGCCAGTGTCAAAATGTACATAGAAAACAGCAACTCATGCTGAAAACAGCATACCAATACCACATGTGTAATTCCTGCAAGATTTCCAATATACCTGGCAAAACAGCATTTCACCAGGAATAACCCGTGCACAGGCGGGCATCATATTATGAAGTGGAGATACATTATCAGTGTGAAACCTCAGCCGACTTGAAATTGACAACCACAACAAAACCCAGGTATTACATTTACCACTTACCTAAGGAAGCACAGTCCGATCTTTCTCTGAAGAGGAACTACTGCGAACTTTATAACACGGACTAATGCAATGCTTTGTTTGGAAACCACACAGGAGACTTAAGCCGCGCAATCAACTCTACCATTCCTCCAACGATCCCAAATAAGAACACCACGCGGCCCACATCAGCACAGCGCAACCTGCATGAATGTAACAGAGTCGTCGTTGTTGTAGAACATGTAGGCATATGGCACCAAAATCCTTGACACCTGAAAGTTATTTCCGCACGGTGTGAAGAGAAGCGAAGAGAAACGTCAAAAAAGCTGCTTCCGGTAACTCTCAAGGCGAATCAGTACGGACTTTCCAAGACTGGAAGGCAAAATTAAAAAAGAGACCATGAATGCAAGGAGTTGTGAGCAGATGACACCCAGCTTCTTGACACCGGTCTAACTGCCAACATTTGGGACCCCAAAACTCGTGTTGAGAAAAAGTTACCAGTGACACTGGAGCGGTTTCTCATAACTGTGTTAAAACAAGCTCTTACAAAACAAAAAATGACTGTACCTCGGTGTCACAATCGGCTGTGCCGTTAGCTAGGGGAATCGCGTCTATATCCTCATGCGTCGTTGCTATGGCAGACTGATCGCATTTGCTCGGATGAGACCAGGCGTGGCGACGGAGACTTAGAGGATGATGTTAGAGGCGCTGGTGCCTTCCACATTCGATGCTGCTTGGCTCTGTGAGGGCACCTCAGCTGCACAGAAACAGCGGTTTAAAAAGCACTGAGCCTCGGCGCCCGCATCATTGTCAAACAAAGCATTCACGATTGTGTCGTCATCCACGTTGCTCGTGTTGGGTTGGCCTGAAATACCTGACCTGGATAAAATGCTGAAAAATACACCGAACGGGACATGACGACCACCCGAAGCATTCTGTCAGACACCCGTGCACCCGAGGCGTTGCGCAAGCGGGTGGTCGGTCGTGCCTCTGTGTCCTCACGTACCACTCGGGTCACAGCTGACGGTATGTTGCAGCTTCTGCGAGTGCGCACCGAGTTCACGCACTGATCATTTGTTCCCGAACGACTCGCATATATACATATATATATATATATATATAATATATATATATATATATATATATATATATATATAATCTCTCTCTCTCTCTCTCTCATCTCTCTCTCTCCTCTCATCAATCTCTCTCTCTCTCTCAGCGCGAGCTAGCGATAGAGAGAGAGAGAGAGAGAGAGAGAGACGAGAGAGTAGCGAAGGAGGGAGAGAGTGTGTGTGTGTGTGTGTGTGGGTGTGTGTGTGTGTGTGTGTGTGTGTGTGTGTGTGGCATTCCGAGATGTATACATATGAATAAACGGCCATATTGAAGACCTTTCGGTGCTCTTCACAGCCCTGTCCTTCGCACGATGGAAGCCGCTGTAGTTTTTTAGCTACACGCTTGCGAAAATGGGAAGAGGTATATCGGGGCAAGCATTCCAAAGTCACCCTATTATTCATGACGGCCATAATAACGTCATTCAAATTCTTCTGCCGTTCCATGGGCCATGCGGCAATCAGGGCCAAGACAAATATAATGGTTGAGGCGTTCATATATGATGCTCGTGAGCGAAATTTCCAGATATAATGGCCGTCAATAAATACTCTTCATGGTACAATGAGGCAATCAAACCATGACGCATTGAGGAGCATATTTACTAAGCAGAGAAGCGCGCTATCTAAAGCAGTCTTTTCACTTAAAAAACCCACCAATGGCAGTATGTTGGCTTGTTTCGACATACCTGATTCTTGCTTCAATGTCTTCAAATGTGAGTCATTCCCTTCAAAGGGAATGTTTAACCATTCACGAATAGCATGCGATTTGAGTCAAATGATTCCATGATCTTCATTCCTTATGCCCTGCCATGAAAGAGAACAAACTTTATTAGGTCTTAGAAATCCTTCGCGCTATTGATGGCGATTTGAACCCCAGCATTAGAACCTAATGTGTTCCAACGTGTTCCTAACGTGTTCCAAAACCTAATGATAGTGCAAATAATAATGACACTGAGCAAAAAGAAGATTTGCATTGTCGTTTGCCGGCTTTGCGCAGGAGTGCAAATGTTCCGGCGGTTTTGACGGATTGGGATGCCCTTTTTTGGCTTCGTCTGCAAGGTTAGTTTGGGAAGCATTGGATGAAGTCAGGTAAAGAGTATTAAGACCAGAGGCCAGTATTTTACACCAGGCAGTATTTTACCACGATCGCAAGAACGACGTCATTTTTCTGCTCTTTTTGATCTGACCGTTGCAGCCCCGTCTTACCATGGCACGAGACTATCAAAAATTCAAAAATATTCATATCTGCTTGCATTTGTAAGCCTGAGGTAAAATAAATATGGCATGAGCGACGAAATAAAGCGCTAGGGCATAATATGTTGCAACTAACCACAGTCCATCGCCTCTACTTCACCAACTTAATCTGAACGGCGCCGCTATCAGCAATTACACCATATCCGTGGCTCACGGCCATAACTAGGACCCTATAAATCAGGTTGCAGCACTGTCAGCAGCGATAGCCTTCGGTGACCCCGGCAGCCTGCCGTCACCACTCCGTGCAGCTCTGCAGTACTCCGACTGTTCATGTTGAACATCGCGAGCGCTCCCCGCTGCAGCGCCTTTCAGGTCCTTTGTGTGACAGCAGATTGGGTGTCCGTTCCCTTATCGTATCTGCGCAACGGTCTCTGGCTCTCATTGCAGAGGACCGGGCGCTTGATAGGGAAGGCCGCGTAATCCTTCCGAGGTGACTGAGCAGCAGGCTGTGGTGCAATGATAGCAGTGTATCGTGAGTCACATGTAGATAATACCGATATTTGTTTGAACATGAGCAGGTATCGCACTGATGTATGTCGAAGCAATGTTTGTTGTTATTCAGCTAGGCGTCTTCCTCGCGCCTAACTTTTAAAACGACAAGCCTTCTCATGTTACAAATTGATGAATCACATGATTAGGATTCTGAATTCTAACAAACACAAGATCGGGGAAGTCGCATGTTGAGGGCCGCTTGGTTCGTTCCAAATCAGATCTAAGAAACGCACCGTGATCCACACTGGAGTGCACAGGACTGCTTCAGAATACAGAAATACAGCACGGCTTTAGAATACAGAAACACGGTGCTGCTTTAGAAGACAGAAAGACAGAGCTGCTTTAGAACACAGAAACACAGCACTGCTTCGGAACACAGAAAGAGCGCTGCTTCAGAACACAGAAACACAGCACTGCCTCTGAATAAAGAAACACAGCACTGCTTTAGAACACAGAAACACAGCACTGCTTCAGAATACATCAGCACAGCACAGCTTCAGAACACAAACACAGCACTGCTTCAGAGCACAGATACGCAGCACTGCTTCAGAACACAGAAACACAGCACTGCTTCAGAGCGCAGATACACAGCACTGCTTCAGAACACAGAAACACAGCACCGCTTCAGAATACAGGAACACAGCACTGCTTCAGGGCGCAGATACACAGCACTGCTTCAGAACACAGAAACATAGCTCTGCTTCAGAAAACAGAAACCCAGTGTTGCTATAAAAAAGCACACAAGTCGTAGTATTTAACAACCCGTCGCAGCGTCCTAAGCCCCGGTTCGCGGTGATGGCCGGTTCTTGAATGTTTGGAGCCAATGGTCGGAAGGTTGGACGAATGTCGTTGGCTACCCATTGTCTCCACTTGCCGCCCACCCGAAGAAACAGATCAATGAACACCAGCCCACGCGCCAGGCCCTCCCACCTGCGTTTGTGGACGCCCCTCCGCCTGACCTTAGAGGGTCATCTTCAGTAAGGCTTAGGAAGCGTCTTTACTTGGGTTTGAGGCCTCCTTGGAGGCTCCTTCACTTGGGTTCGGGGCGTTTCCCTGCCGAAATTAGGGGCGTCACCCCACCAGATGCCACGAGAATGATCGCTCAGCAGGGGCGTACGCACCTGGTGGCCTCCAGAGGCAGCCCTCCCCCTTATCAAATTTGTTACGTGAGTGTGCCTGAGTGCATCTTGGCAATTACAAATTTTAGGTAGGTAAATACAGCCCGATAAACCGAAAGTATGTGATGATGGCTTATTCCACAGAAGAAGTTTCGGGCGCCTGCGTAGCACGAACCATAATTTCTGTTGGGGAAGTGAATCAAAAGTCTTGAATGCCACTTGAATAATTTCGGTCACATTTTTATCTGAACTGGCCTCATTGTGAGCTTATGCGCACGCCCCTGCAGCTCAGTAAAAGTACACTGGAGCCTGTTCTGTTAGCTGTTCATGGGAACTCACCAACCCGAACGCTGGGGTTTGGCTTGGGGTGCGATTTCGCTGCCTTCGTCCTGTTTGTGTTTCAGCCGATGTGGCGCTGAAAATAGAAGGCCATGACGCAGCAGATGGCCTCACAGGAGATGGTCCTCAGCTGTCGTGACCTACAACAATAGCAAAGCTACCCTCTGCTGGTGTGCTTGGATGACCGCTGGGTGGGTGACGTCACCTTCCGCAATGTGACGTCAGGCCAGGGGTGTGACGTGTCGGAAACATTCCAGACGTCGTCACCGGTTTGATCGCCCGAATGAAACTGCTCAGTTTTATAATTCCTGGTCTACGTGTAAACCTACATAACCGGCACGGTGAACATGATGGAAAGTGAAGAAATGTCACGGCGGGTATTTTGATGCGTGTTTTCAATGGATGCATTGGTTCTGTCATTGAGAGCTTTAGCTTGGGCTTCACAGGCGTGGCATATACCTCTTGCTTCGAACGTCTGAATCACCGGCTCCCCATATGGTTGTGATCGGCTCGCAGACGTAGTCCACACGGCCATTGATATGGTTAATGCTGTGACAAACAGGCTCATGATACGACTGCTACTAATCTGCATTAGATTCCTTTGTCGTGTCTTACCAGTGGACTTCATTCAGTTGTTCAGAACATTCAGATCTGATGTTATCAGGCTCGCTCCAGGAAAGGGTGGTATATATGGGCCAGACGCGTGCTTTGTTCAATTTAGATGCATAACTGAATCAAAATCATCCACATGTTTATTGAATTAAGCTCAATTTGAATTCCTAGATTTGGAGGTGATTTTGAATCGCCCAGATTTGATGCGGTCTTGTGACTTAAATCACCTCAATGAAC